GATTTTTGCTTGAAGCTTCAGTACTGACCATAGAAAACAATGTTAGACTGACTCCACCAATAGATTAGATATGAATGGAGAGGGGGGAATAAACGTATACAGAACATGGCCAGCAAATCAGAACAAGTGACATTAGAAGCATCTTACCGGGACTTTTGAGATGGATAAAAGTGCATCGCTGCAGCCATTCAAAGCAAATATCCCTTCTGTGTACTGAGTGCATATGTGATACAATAAATGGATAAATTTCAGTACATAAGTAGGTTTCTATTTTTTTTCCGACAAGCCATATTAAGTCATAATATAAGTCGTCATAATAAAAATTACTAACTAACAACTGAAATATTTAATGACTATAATAAATAAATGTACTTTTTGAATCAATTAGCTGAAATAAATTAACTTTTGGATGTTGCTATAAGCATTTTTGGATGCACTTATCATGATGATGACTTAAGATCTTCAGAAAAGCAGCAAAAATGAAAAAGAGAAACATGCAAAATTCAAAAAAGTCTGACGGCTCGTAAGGAAAACGTAAACTTATAGAATTAGCTTAAAAATTTGGCACAGTTCTGTATGTTCTTGCAAGCCATTTCCACATAAAGTCCAACTAGTTGACGCCTTTAACTCGTTAGTTAGACACAAACAATAGAGTGAAGGATGCCAAGAGTCCATACATTTGTTATTATATATATATATATATATATATATATATATATATATATATATATATATTATTATTTTAAATTAGTACCTTGTTAAATACTTATTAGTTATGACAAATATGTTGGCAGGATGTCATCTCCTACTGCAGCATGTGTGGAGACGGTTGTGACCTGTCTGGAAGGTCACACCCATCTCCCTGGAAAACGCTACTTTAAGTCAAGATAAGTTTAATTATAAACTAAGGAAGCAGGTTTATTAGTCAGAGTCCTGGTGAGAAGAAAGAGGAAAACATTCAGAAAAGGTCATCAGCTATTTATAAACTCCCTGTATTAGTGGATACTGTGATGACAAGACTGTTGCAAAGAGGAAAAGTTCACATTAGATTAATTTGGAACGAGAGTTGTCGTTTTTTTAAGACTTTATGCTTCGTTAAAATTTTTTTCATTCTAAAACAGCACTATCCATGTTGACACTGCTAAAAAAAAACATATGTAAAAGCCTGAAATAAAATCTATATTCTATTTATTGTAAAAGCATAATAACACTATGGAAATTTGACAAAAGTCTTACCATTAATTTGATCTAATAGCAGAAAATATTATTTTTTTGTCTGTTTTTATTCATTTTTTTGATAATGCAACTATGGTGAAGGTTAACAGTAAAATAGCTCTTTTCCTATCAGAACAAGTCACTTCAGGATAGTTTGGCATGCAGCAAAGCATGATTATGACAATTATCACCTGATGCCCACTGTTATCTACAGGGTGGATCCGTCTTGCTTTGGGTCGGGTTCTTTTCCTAAGTTTCAGGTAAACCCAGTTGGGGTGCAGGACACTATGAACCCTTTAAATAAATCCTAAGAAATCAGCATGAAAATAGTTCACCAAAAAGTCTGACACCAGACATCTTTATGAGAACATTTTAAAGGCTTTTACAACTCTCAACTATTGGTGTCAATAAATGTTCAGAGCTCTGAATTATAGTGGCTTCTTGTGTTCTTTTAAAAACAAAAAAAAATGGTTTCTAGACATTTTGTTTTTAAGTATGGAGTTACATTTTAACACTGACCAAGTCTGAATATATCTGGAAAAAAATTAAACTGAGAACAGAAAACGGAGTAAAAATTTGGATAAATAGAATGTGAAAGTTTATCCCAACATTTCCCTACATGGGGTTTAATAAGTAATGTCCCTGACTCACTTCCAGTTTTTTGATCTTCTTGAAATTTTGGATGTGCCATTACTCATATCTCTAAAGTGGCACATTACAGCGCTGAACTAATTGTGGTTTCTGGTTTAAAGGTGTTTGAACTGAGTGAAGTGTGAAATGGAGCATCTTGAGCAAGAGCAGGGGTTTAGTTTTTGTATTTGAAAGGACGTACACCACAGGAGAGTTTTAGTGAAATGAAAGGGACTTATGGTGATAATGCACCATCATCATCCAGTCTCACGTGGTGTGCAGCCTTTCAAATACAAAACCCGGATCACCACATTCTAGGATTTTTAAAGAATATATTGGTAAATTGTGGTGAAAAAAAGAACTATTCATTGAATAACAAAAGTTCAACTTAATAATTTGCAGCATATTATTTGTGGCGGTGACAGAGGTTAAATTCTTTACTAGGTTTAATCACACTGTAGTTGGTGTTTTAGACCATTTTCACTGGAAGGGGCTTTTAAATGCTTTTTACAGAGCCACGACTCCTCCATTGCCGGAACGGATGATTTAGATTAGAAAAACAGCCAAGAAGTTGTTTTTTCTATTGGCTTCAATGTTAGAAGGTTATAAAAATATCAAAAACTGACTGGAAGCTAGCTTTAGCACACCATGTAGCCACCATGTCTACATTTTAGTGCAGGGGTCTTCAACGTTTTCCAGGCCAAGGACCCCCAAACTGATGGTGAGATGGAACAGGGACCCCCTAATAATTTATATTGTAAATTATTTGTTGTGTTTATCAAATGGTTTTATAGTCACTTTATTACAGATGGGGTAATGTAACGAAAGTACTTTCTCCCTGAGATTATTAAAGCATTTCTGATTGTGATTCCTGGTTTATGGGACAGGTGTTGTGAATGAAACGGTGCCCAGCTTAAAAGAGCTCCTGTGTGCATTGATGACATCTTCTGCCTCCATTTATTTGTTTACTACAGTGTGTTGAATTCATGTTAATGTCGATTTAAAGACATTTCAATTAGTGGAAAAAATTGCAGGGGGAGTATAAAAAAAAAAAAAAGTCTAATCAACCAAAACTTTTGCAAAGCCCTTTTGAAGACCTCCTTCTTAGTGGCTAAAAAAAGTTTTTTTTTTAAAAGAAGTTCAGTGAAGTTCAAGGCTCAAACCTACAGGAGACAGGCCATTTATGCTGGAAACTCCTCTGATATGGCCGAACTTAACCCTTTATAGGGCACTCAGTGAAATAACTTCGAAAATCAAACTTTCAAGCCTATAGTGTTATTTGAATCCAGGACATCACTGTATTACCTTTGTATGTCAATAATGTCAATAACCAATTTATTAAGAAAAAAAAACAAAAGTGATTCTACAAGAAATTCATGAAAAACACTGAGAGTGAAAGAAACATGTTTTTTTGTTTTGTTTTGTTTTTTGTTCAATATAACCTTAGAGGCATTAATGCTGATACTGGCACTTAAACTTTTTTAGTTTATAAACCTAAATATAATTGTTAGTTAGGCTTTTTAACTTATTAACTTTTCAATTAGCTGTTTACCTTATTTTCTTGAGTTAACTTTTTTTTTAACTTAATTTACAGTAGGTAATATATCATATAAGGGTTCGTATAATTGGTCAAATGCCAAAATAAGATGTACAGCCATGTAGCAGCAGTATCTTTACTGAATGGCTGGATATAGATCTTGTGCTTCTAGACCTCACTGAGGGGACTACATTTGTAAGGGGTATGCAAGTGTTCAAAAATGGTAATTTGCCCTATTAAGGGTTAAACAATCATACAAAAAATAGACTGAAGTATTCCCCTTTAAAGTGATGGTAGCCAGTTATCACACTGGCCATGTTTCCACCAGTTTTGCATTATATGGTCAGCTTTCCCCCCTCTTAATATACGAAATATCAATGTGAAAACTTCCTAAATTCATTTTTAATATTAAGTCTGCCTGACGACCTGGAACATTAAAGTGTGACAGGTAGGATAGACTACCTCATGAACATAACTTTGAGCAGTAGCACATTGGCATTGCACAACCTCAGATTTAAGCAGCTAGGTTTTCTGCATCTACCTCTGATCAATGCATTAATGTTAAGTATAATTGTGTACCTGCAGCATGACATTTGGGCAATTAATCTCTTTAATTATCATCCTACCGCTGATTCAAAGTGATGATATTGTGGGCGAGTGCTGAACAATGTCCACCCGTTAACATTTGAGTCATGTTGGATCAACAACAGGAAGGCACAGTGTGCAGCTCTCCTGTTATGATGGGTCCCCTGCAAAGCTCCTGTAGTGGCTAATTCTGAAAAACATAATGAATCTGATAGTATTAGTTTGTGCAGTTTTATGGTGAAGTTGAAATATATTCCAGTATGTGTTTAAATAACCTAAAGTGAGTATTTTAAGATTTTTTAAAAGATGTTTTGGGGATGTGTAAGTTTTTTACACTGTCATCAAGGTTAAAGATGACCTCCTCCACTTAAAACCAGTCTTCTCCACCAATCACATCCCTCCGTTGGCTCCTGGATGAGGAGGATTTGAAGACAAAGTATTCCAGATCTGCACATCTTTCTGCAATCGGCTCCTGCATTACTGACCTGCCGGGTTTAGCCTTAGTTGGTTGTGGGAAGATGTTTTGCTCTCAGATGCAGGTTCTTCTACTTGCTTTGTGTTCCTCCATGCTGGTGGTTCCTGTGAGTGCTGCTGAAGGAGTGAACGAACTGCTAGAAGCCACACAAGAAGAACTTATAAGTGATGAGGTAGGTTTACTGACAAATATCTATTTTGATTAGAATCAGTCTTATAGGATCTAAAGGGGTGTATTATAGCATTTTTTTCTGCTGAATTAAAACATCTTAAATTAAATTTTTTTTTTTGTTTTTTTTTTAGAAAAAGGAAATGATAAATTTTTACCAAATTACCCTACTAGATTCCAGTTATTTGTATCCAACTATTGTATATTTAATGTTATTCATTTGCCCTCACTCTACAGTCTATTTCTCATTTCTGTTTTTATTTTTTATTTTATTTTACCTGTGTGGATATGCATGCCTCTTTTGGCACTTTATTTTTGTACTTGAATTTACCAGTGGTCATATCACTTTGTAAAAAATAAATTGTTTTCAGATATTGGCACAGCTCGATCTGAAGAATTATCAAATCAAGTTTTTTAAATCACAATTTTTGTTTTGTGCAAAAAGCTAAAATATTGATAATAGAAATAAAGTGGTAATGATTAAATAGTTTTAATCAGTCAGAATGTTAACATTGTTTTTATTAAATATTTCAGGGTTTAAAGTTACTAATTGCAGAAGTGGTGTTTTGACAGTTACTTCTTTCTTATATTTAAACTTTTTTTAGTTGTTATTTTTTTTTACCCTTTTTGTCATAATTTTTTTTCGTCAAAACAACTGAACCCTTCAATTTATAAATTTTTTTCCAACCTAGTGGGCCTCTTAACCAAGCTTTGAAAAATTGTTCTTGGAAAGAGCAACATCGAAGTCCGTCCACTAGATGGTGCTATTTCGCCTAATTAAAGCAGGCGGTAAACCTCAAACCTCCTCTAAAGCAAGCTTTTCCAATTTAATCCTCTAACTGTTTCAACAGTTTTGTCTTTGATAGGTCTAAACCACCAAAATAAACATAACTGTTCAAGCTGAACAGTTTTAAAAGGTAGTATTAAGTGGAAAATATTTATAGGCAAAATTTGTACAGTAGTTTAGGTTTTTCTTTTTCTTAGGTAAGTTTTCACTTTAATCTGAAGCTGCAGAAAAATAAAATAAATCCGTCAATGTTGCTGATAATTATTGCTTATATTCTTAGAAAATATTGACTATGATATAAACAAATAAGCTTTTAAATGCCGTTTGTGTATTTTTGTGTATAAAGTTTTTTTTAAGTTATTACAATTGTGTCATTACCGCTTTAAAAGGGGTAAAATTTTTATGAAATTCAAATGTATTTGAACAATTTAGGCTAAATTATTTCTGAAAGCGTGATGCGTCTAAAATAAAAAAATTAAAAATTTCTCTGCAGTTTTTTTTATTAAGCCTCCACTAAAGTATTTTCACTCTAATACTTTAGAAAAATTAAGACATGAAAATAAAGTTGTTGCATGTTTTTTTTTTTTTTTAGCAACAATTTTAAGGCTTAATAATTACCAATAATTCTAGGACTGTATTCTGTAAATTACTTCTTACATATTAGTAATGCTAAGGATGTGTAACCTGTGCTGGCCTTTAATAAATCAAAATATATTTTCTGCTGAAGTAGTTTAAAGAACAGTGTGTTTTTTCGTTCTTCAGGATCTAACTGATTTGATCCTGCTGAGGTTTATCTCGGAGCTGATGGCGTCCAGGGGAGAAATGATGCACCGCGACCTTGAGGAGGATGAATTAAGCGGCAGGGGGAGGCTGATGAGGCGACACATCCGCTTCGCTCACAGACAGCGAAAGGCCGGCTGCCGAAACTTCTTCTGGAAGACTTTCACCTCATGTTAGCATGAGACATGTTAGGACTTTTCAACCTGGGATGTTTCTGCTTTAAAATAAAATAAATCCTCTCCTGCAATACAGCAAGTTATTGCAAAGTAAGAAGTATATAGAGATGAATCAATCAGTGGTCTTTAAAAAGGCTCTTATTATTCATTTTTCAGTAAATATGATTGCTCTGGTATTCAAACTGCTGATAATAAAGAGTAAATAACTTTTGATCCTTCATTTACTGCATTAGGTTACAGAAAATATTACATATAACATAGAAAATATACTTAATGCTTAAACGTGTTTCCATGCTAAACTAATACATTCAACTGTTCTAGATGTATTCACCCTTTTGTGCACACTCATTAAAATAACTGCTCTTTATGTTTCAACATGTTTATTTAGACCCCCCCCAAAAAAAACAAAAAAAAAACATCAATGAATCTGACGCTTGCAGGATCACCCTACGTCTTAAAAAACACGAGATGCCATGATTCAGCAACTTAAAGGTATGAGCAGCACTGAAATGTTTAACCTAATGGTGGAAAGTGAAACACTTCTAGATATAAAGTAACAATAGAGGGGAAAAAGTATATAAATTGAAGCGTTTTGGCTGAATTCACAGTAAAACAAGTTAGGAAAGAGCATAGGAGTGAATCTGAATGAAATCCTTCAGGTAAGATTTTCAGATCTGGAGCCCTTAAAAAACATGTTCTGTTATTTTATTTTTATCTGTACAAAGGGTCAATTATAGGACCTAAATGATTACAGGTAAACCTAAAACATGACACCAGGTTCTAAAGTAACTATGAGCATTTATTAATTTAACAAATTCAGATTTTTTTTCCCCAAAATGGGCTGGTTTATAAATTATGGCTTCTGAAAATGAGGAAGTCGTGACAGAATCTGTAACTTTACATCCTTTTTAATGAGAAATAATTTACCAGAGTAAATTCAGTTTTTCTCTGATTAAATTGACCATAGAGTTAAGCAGCTTTGCCCCTCCCCCACTTGTTGTTGCAGATATTTTTTTTCCCTAAATCAACAACAAAAAACAGAGTAAATTGGTTACAGTGAAGGATTTTCAATCGTGAAACACAAACAGAAGTCCTGCTGTGGAAATGGGAGCGCCAGCCATCACTGTTATTATAGCAGGCTAACGACCTGTGCAGACCTCCGTACTGTTTTAGCCTGCCTCCATTAACACAACAGAATGGCAAAAGGTGGATCCTTCTGAATAAGTTTATTTGAAACATGAAAAAAAAAAGACTCAGCTCATGTTTAAAGATTTCTGATCTGAACATCAAATAAAATAGATGTAACAGACAACAGCAACAGTAGGATAGGTATTGCTTTTTGTTGCTTATTTTCATTTAAAATGTTTATAAAGGACATGTTTAACAATGAAACCTCAGTTTCTATAAACCAAGGCTACAGGCTCCGCTCTTTATCTTCCCTTCAGAGCCTGTGTGGGAGCTTTTGGGCCGCGATTAATACTGTCGCTGCAGAGCCTGAACTCTGACAGCATGAGTGCAACTATGAACGCAACCAACCCACTTTAAACGCGCATTCAATCCTACATCAATCAGCCACTATAGAACGGACATGATTCTAATATTTCTGTAGGATCAGATTAATGATACATCTATGACCTTGTGAGTCTCGTATTCATTTCTCTTTGCGCCTGCAGTTCGAACGTAACAAACACCAAATACAAGCAAAAATCAAAGCATTATATCTGACCGACGGATTTAGAAGCTAAAGGGCAAAAAGGACCTAATGCTAGAGTGTTTAATACAAGCTAAAGGAGTAAAAACTGGTTGTTTTAACGGCACATTCTTCACGTCTAAATGTCGAGGTTATTTCACAGGACGTTCCTTTGATCTAAAGGCTTACAAACCAAACCAGCACCGTATTTACAATCACAGTATTATGTTGATTCTGTGCTCTTGTATGCAAACTGTGAGGCAGTTCAGTTCTTTGATAGTGTTTTACAAAAATAGATTTTTTTTTTTTCTTCTTTTCCCCGTGTTTGAAATATGTTTAGACAATAGGTGTGAGCTGAAACTGTGCTGTCCCAACAGGTTTTTTTCCTAAAGATATAATCAGTACCGAAGGGAAAGTGGAGCCCAAGCTGCCTGCAGATCAGGCTACAGTCGTACTAATCTGAGCTAAACATGATTAATAGTGCACCAAAAACAACAATATCAACAAAAGAGTGGCAGAGTGATGCAGACAACAACAAATGAGGGGGAAATGATAAGGATTGTTCGTGCCGTTATTAATGTGCTGCCTGGGGGGGTTGGATCTCTGAAGATTAGGGAGGCAGAAACCAGGAAGAGGAGGAGATCTGCTAGCAGTCGGTGGAGATTTTGGCCGAGAGGTCCTGGATGCGGCGGGCGCTGCAGCTCTTACACAGGATGTGTCCATCCAGCGGGTAACAACCTCGACCTTCGCCTTCAGACGACAGCAGCAGGCCGCATTCCTACCAGACACAAACATACAAGTCTTTACCTTACACCAATCAATCCACGTTAGGGTTAATTGACTAATGTTTGGTTGTTTTAGCAAGGTTCCCCTGAATCACATGAATCTGGCTGGAAAAGTTGAGTGTTTCATTGGAAATTATTGTTTATGTAAATCACCGCCCTGTGGAAGCTAATTTATTACCTGGTGGGTGTTGGGTCACAGACATATTTCATGGTCTGGTTCTGCTTCAGTTTTAACAATGAATTAAAGCAATCAGTCCCTCTAATGCTTGGAAACCTAGAGATGGGTCGAGCAACAGCGATGCGCCGCCGCATGTGTCGAGCTTTAACAGACAAAAACCCGTGTCGGTGCGGGTATTATTTCTAGAAATTAGCGTGATCGATACAGGAGCTGTTTTTGACTGACTGACGCACTGAATTGTGTTTATAAGCGCTTCTGCCAAAAAAATAAAACCTCTGATCTTTTGTTGTTTATCATGAAATTAATCAAGAAATATGGAGCAGCCTCAAGGCAAAAGAAAGGTTTCATCCGAATAAGACCATCTAATATTTGTTTTTATTTTCTAGTTATGTCATCCTGTTCCCCTGTTATCATTCAACTTATCTGTATTCAAAGTGACTTATTTGTTTGCTGTTCTTACTGTGATTATTGTAAATGTCAAAGAGAATACCTGTAGTGACTTTAAATGTCCAGCAGGTGTCATTGTATTCAGCTACACAGTATCAACACAGTTTGCATGTGTGTTAAAACTAGGGATGCAACTAACAACTTTTTTGCAAATCGATTAATCTTTCGATTTTTTTTTCGATTGATTAATAATCAGATAGCAAAAGGTTCCTTAAATAAGATTTTTAACTAAATTAAACCAGGTGACAGCCTCGACCTTCGCCTTCAGACGACAGCAGCAGGTCGCAAAAATTTAATATTTTCATGTACCCCTTGTAATGCACACTAGGGGTACGCATAGCCCTTGTTGGGAATCACTGCATAATTTGACGATTATTTCAATAATGGATTAATCATGATTGTTTCAGCCCTAATTGAAATGCTTCATTGCACCTCATGAACCAATCATATTTTAATTTAAAATTTTTTATTTTAAAGTCCAGCCAAGATTTAAAGAGAAAATCTACAATAGTTTTAAATACGGTACACACTTTTTTATGTATTTAGTTTTTTAAATAAAATTATTTCCATATTAAAAAAGAATTGCTTCACATAAATCATTCCCAATTAAACTCAGTATTAAGAGTGTAAGAAAGAGTTTCTTTTCCACTCATGATGTCCGACTCACCTCACAAACATAACAGTGAACGTGGAAGCTGCGGTCAAGAGCTACAATCCTGACGGTCTCCTCCTGGCCCGGTTCTGGCATGATTGGCTCTCCACATACCGAGCAGCGAGGGGCGTACTTCCTGTTGAGAAAGACGCCGCTTTGGACAGTCAGAAAAAAAAAAAAACAGCAGCTGGGGAAATAGAGACGGCGCTCTGTGAAGTGCAGGGGGGAAGCGTGCGTACCTGTGAAAGTCGTCTATGCAGTGTATCTGAGACGTGGCGTCCACGGTGAACGGCACCCCGTCCAAGCAGCAGTTACAGACCACGCAGGTGAAGCAGCGAGGGTGGTAGGCTTTCCCCATGGCCCGCAGGATCCGGTCCAGGATGGGCTTGGAGCATTTAGAGCAGCGCTCCAAAGTGCTCTGAAAACAAAGGAGGGAAGAGGAGGATTTAGAAGAAACAAAACTAAAATGTGATCCATCTTTTAGTTGGTTCCCTCACTTACAATGTAACAGCTCTCACAGTAACTCTTCTTATCCAGGGCGTAGAATGGTTGCCCTCGCAGTCGGGCGTGGCAGGTGATGCATGTGAAACACTCTACGTGGAAAACCTGCTCCATTGCGATGCAGCCACTGCCATCGCCCACCACGTTATCCCCGCAGCGCGCGCAGCGACCTGAGCACAGAACCTCCATTTATTCTTTTATTAAAAGTAAATATTAGAAAGAAAAAATTAATTGTCACCACTTAAGAATCCCAAACTGATCGTACCGAAATAGTCCTCTGCAGGCGGATGGTTCATGTCATAAACCAGCTTCTTGGTCAGCCGCTCCAGCTCCTCCTCAGGTCTTGTTGTTGCCGCCCCCAGCTGGAGAAAAAATGGAACAACAGGGGAAATATGCCCATTTGAAGTGTTGCTTTCTTTTAACTTTGTGTTTTCTCACTTATTCATAAACTGAAACAAACCAAACAATATGATGCAGCATGTTCAGCTCTTTACCTTGCTGGACTGATAAGAAGGCGTCTGCGCTGACGTCTGAGCTGTCTGGGTCTTTTCTATCCCTCTCTTAGACAGAGGAACCTGGTTAACTCTCCCTCCAGCTCCAGGGTTGTTGCCCTTGTAGCCTCCCTCGGAGTGCAGCTCCTGAACCTGCGAGTTGGGGTGTGGAGGGTACCAGCCCTGTGGACCCGCCTGGTTCTGGGCCGGGGGCCGAGACACGTGCTGACGAGGAGGGGGAGGGGTGTAGGCCTGCTCCGCCTGCCTCCCCGTCTGAGAGTAGGTGACGGGCTGCGCCGTCTTGACCTGTACGCTGAACCGGGGCCCAGTGGGAGTGGAGGCGGTGGTGTAGGAGGCTGGGACGGGCTGCGGGTAGGGCTTAGGGGTGGAAGTGGAGTAGAAGTCCTGTTGGTGGGAGTACTGGGGGGTCTGGTGCTCGCTAGGATACGGAGGGGCTGGGTGGTACTGACTCTGGGGGTGAGAGCTGTAGCCCATGGACGGCCGACCCTGAGTCGGGGCTGCGCTCTGGTGTGCAGACTTGTAGTGATCCCCTGAGATGTACTTGTTGTAAGGCACGTTGTCATAGAGCTGAGAGGAGGCACAGCATCAGTAACTGTTCACTATTAAAATAAAACCAAAGTCAGGGCTGGAAAATAACTATTTCATTTCCTGCAGACTGGAAGTTTGCTCTAATGAAATTACCTCTAATATATGTGTCAATCTGGCTCATAAGTTTCCATGGGGCACATAAACAAATTGAACAGCTACACATCAACAGTTGATTTATCCAGGAACCGCCCATCATAAATCATTAGATTTCTCATCATATACTTAAATTTCCAAAAGATTCTAAAGGGTCAAATATTGTAGTTATTCCTACAGTTCCCACTGTCTTACCTGGTTGGCGGAGTCCTGGGGGTGGCTGTCCAGGTCAGCCAGCATACTGGTGAGGGAGTCGATATCGGCATCGATCTTGGAGTGGTAGTTGGTGCTTTTCTCAGGACCACGATGCTGCAAAACCAGAAAGGAATCAACAAAACAAAGTTAATCTAATCATTTAAAAGTTGTAATAATAATTGTTATTTTAATTAATTGCAGCTATTAACCTCGTTTGGGTTCCTGTGAAACAGCTCTTACCAATGCAAATTCCCTCATCCGGTTAAAAATATTCAAGAATCAGTTCTCTTTCCCTGAAGCCACTTTTATGAAGAAAATAATGAATTAAAATGATCCATAACTCTGAGATCTCCCAGTTAGCGATTAGAGCAACACCACCTGGATGTCCTTCTACTCTCCACCTCAGTCACCAACAGGTCTACCACTTCCTCGGTTCATTTATTTGGCCTACTCTCCCACAGTTGCCGTTGGTAACCGTAAAATAACATTGATCAGTTGGCTTGTTTCAATACACACCGCATCCCTGTGGTTCTTTACATGGACCATTTATGGTTGAATGTGGACGTGCAGAGGGCTCAACGTGAGGCGAGGACTAGCGCACAAACTTGATCCAGAAAGGATAACTGCTTGGTTTTGTGCATGAGGATTTCTTTATTTCAGACCCTGCACTACATTCTGTGCACAGAGACAAGATTCAAATCTGACTGAACTGAAATGCACCAGTTTTATGCATTTTACAAAAATGTTTGTAATTAACTATTCATAAACATTAAGGTAATTCTTTTAAATGTTTAAATGGATATATTTATTCTACTGCAATAAAAAAGTGCGATAGACATCTTCACCGATTAGTTACTTAAAACTGTTGAGGAAAAAGTGCAGAAAATGTCCCCACCATCATATCATAGCTGTCCAGGTGAGAGCTCCAGCTTCGATCCTCTTTGTGGCCATGATGGGGAGGATAATAGTGATCATTTGATGAATGATGAATGGGCCCACCTGGAGTTAGAAAAATAATTTGTTTATGTTAACGTACTCATACGCACAACTTCAACTTAAACAAAGCCTCTTAGTCAAAGAGTAAACTGACCAAAGAGCGGAGTTTAAAATGATAAGCATGTGAAAAAGTGTGCTGACTATCCAGTTATGATGTTTCCTCTTGTAGAGGATAAAGGAAGCATCATCACTTCTTTAAAAGCATCAAATTGGGACAGTTCAGTCTCATTTAAAACAATGAAATCAAAATGAGAATAATAAAAATAGGGCTGTGAGAATGCAAGGAGTCAGAAACTAAAACAAGCTGAGGGCCGTAACCTTGCACCGGAGCCTCCTGTAATCACCCTGTAGGTTTCCCAGCAGATTTCAACACAATCAATGTGGAAGAGAGGAACTGTGACTCAAACTGAAATGTTAACCAGTTTAAAGCGGAGAATAGGTTTTATTGTTGAACTGTGGAAACATTTACAGAAGATAAGCACTAAACAGAACTCAGTTCGTTTACTCATCAGCCCAAACTGGGCCTTTTAAACAAAAATAAACTTCCTCTTTGTCAGAGCTTTGCATGATTACTAAGCAGAGTCAGACTTAGTCACACCGGTGCCCTGTAGATAGAAGCTGTTTCTTAGAAATTCCTTGACAGAATGGCCAGACCTGAATCCAACTAAGAATTTTTATGAAAAGGTTTGAAAACTGATATTCTCAGCTCTTTAACTCGAGTGATTTCCAAAGAAGGATGGGTGATATGTCCACTTATAGATCTAAAAAGCTGCTTGATCTGTAATGCTGGGAAATACTAATACTTTTCACTGATTTATGTCAGGGGATATTTTTTTATTTCAAGATCATAACATTTTGGAGCATTCTCACCTGTGGGTCCAGTTGCCATGTACCTATTCGCCATTCCCCCTGCTCCATTCTGGTCGTAAGGAGCATATTTTGGCCCCCGGAAGTCAGGGCCACCTTTCTTGTTGACGGTTTGGTATATGGGAGGCCCTGCGGAGTGAGACATCTGGGGGACGGATCGATCCTGGCTGTCTAGAGTCCTCGGCGGCAGCCAGGTGGGACTGGACATGGCAGGATTCTGGGGTCAGAGATAAAACATTGGTGTCAAATACCATTAATGTATCTAGTTACGCACCACTGAGCAGCCCTGTATCTATTTATTATATTTAAAATAACCCTGCTGCTGATTTTGTGTATTTATGTAACAGGTAACCAATGGAAACCATGGGATACTTCAGTGTTTCCTATGGTAACAGGAGACAAAACTAACAAAAGCCTTCATGAAGAAGAGGAAGAAAGCAATAGGTTTAATACTGAGGGGGGTTTCCAGAACATGTGCACGTGTCTGAGCTCCTCAGAAAAAAGGAAAAAAAAATCATACAGAGAAAGAAGCAGGTGTTTATCCACAATAGTAATTGTGTTTGGTTGTTTACTCCGAGTATCGTGTGTTTCCAACTGAGGCTGGGGCGAATCGAGGCAGGAAATATTCTGTAATGATACTTATCCGCGTCCAGGAGAGCACCTGGTTCCTAACAATGTCTCATGTGGGATAAACATCGACATGGAAACCCAACAGCTGACTCCACTTGGTCACTCGACTCAGATACAATGAGCCTGCAGAATGTTAATAAAATGCAATCAAGCTGAATCAAGGGATGACTTTTCCACGGTCTATAAACTCAACCCTGAAGCAGGATTCTTCTCTGGTCATGAGTTCCTTTCATCTAGGTTTATATCTAAACCGATGAAGCTGCTAAATGAAACACAGGACAACTTTTCTAGGAGCTGACACTTTGTGAAAAGAAGGATTCATTCCCCTGTGATTCTCTGCCTGCAGCTATTTCATTTGAGGAACATTCATCTCATTTGGTTCCGGATCCATCCATTTTCCTTTCCTTTCATTTCAATGCTATTAATTTGTGCTGATGGGTCGTTGATAATAATTATTAACACATACAGTATAGCACCACCTGTCTGTGAGTGCTTTAGGGATACTCTTTCTCTGAAAGGTGCCAGCAGGGCAAATGTACTGTGGCTCATATTGGGATTCCTAAACAGTCCCCCTGGGCGGGTGTTCAAGAAGTATGCAGATCAGCTGGCTGGTGTCCTCACAGACATTTGTAACACCTCGCAGGACCGATCCGTAGTGCCAGCGTGCTTTAAGTCTGCCTCCATCATTTCCGTCTCAAAGAAGCCTCGCCTGTTTTAATGACTACCAGCCTGTCGCACCGATTCCCATCATGATGAAGTGCTTCAAAAAGGCTGGTTAACAAACACATCGTCTCCAGTCTGCTGCCAATATTCGACCCGTTCCAGTTCTACCAACAGAACCACTCCACTGAGGACGCCATCTCCTCTGCTCTCCAACTGAGCCTGGTACACCTGGAGGAGAACACCACCCACGTGTGGATGCTGTTCCTGGACTTCAGTTCAGCTTTCAACAGCATCATCCCACAGCATCTGATGGGCAAACTGGAACAGCTGGGATTCAAAACACCCCTCTGCGATTTGCTGCTAGACTTCCTCACAGACAGAACACCTCTGATGTCATCACTCTAAGCACAGGCTCCCCTCAAGGCTGCATCCTGAACACCCTGCTGTTCACCCTGATGACACATGACTGCATCCCCAGGTTCACCACCAATAGCATTGTGAAGTTTGCAGACGACACCAAGATGGTGGGCCTCATTAGAGACGACAACGACCTGGACTACAGAGAGGAGGTGGAGCAGCTGGTGGACTGGTGCAGAGATAACAGCCTGATCCTGAATGTGGAGAAGACGGAGATGATCGTTGACTTCAGGAAAAATCGGCCTAACCACCCTCCACTGGTCATCAACTGCTCAGCTATAGAGGTGGTCAACAGCACCAAATTCCTGGGGTTGCACATCACAGGACCAGCTGGTCCTGCAACCAGCAGGTTGTGCAACAGCTTTTCCCCCACCGCCATCAGACTGTTGATACTAATGAAATCACACATCGAGACTCTGCATCAGACTTGTAAACATATTTGCACTACATGGCAAATTTTCAAATCCCTTTAAACAGAACTCAACTCAGTGTTGTTGCAATTTTGCACCATATTTTGTTTATCCATTTTGCACTGCTCTGAACCTCCCACATTAATGCCTTCTGCACCATATCTTAAACTGGTTTTCCTCTTCTCCTACAGCGTTTACCAATTTGATCACTGCTGCACATTCAATTCAGTTTATTTCTATAGCGCCTATTCACAACGCATGTCTCTTTACAGTTCACCAGTTAATCGTCAAATCAATTCAAAGTTTTCTCTCTAAGGAAAACCAGATTCAAATCTTTTAACAGGAAGAAACCTCTGCCATCTGCCGAGGTGGACTGGGGTTCAAGGAGACAGAAGCAGTTATACAAAAGGCGACTGCTAAGCTGCTCATTCACTGTTGGACAGCTGCATGCATCTAATTTTCCTTGTTTGCTGTGTATACAAGATGACAATAAATGATTTCCAACAGGCCAAACATCCTAACTGACAGGTTGATAGACAGATCAATAACAGAAAAATAAATCATCAGACAGTAAATGAATCGACAGGAGGCTAAATAGAAAAGACAAATAAAAAAAACAAATAAAGGATTGAGGAGATGGATGATAAAACAGAGAGATGATAAATGTTGATAAAATGAAATCAATTAAAAAAACAAATGTTGGAAAACTACTAAATTAGAAACTAATGACAAATTACTTTGTGGTCCGTAAAAATGCTGGTTCTATTAGGGACCTAAGATTAAGGTCTGGAAATGATTAAAAGAAGCAAAAATTAAACAGATGTAACATCCGTGGGGCGACAATAATACTTTGCATTTGGACAATGTCACCAGCCATGTGGCTAAGAGGATTATGATGATTACTCCAACAAATAAGATGCATTTTTGCTGTAGTTGTAAACTTCCTGTCGGCATGGTTGTTGTAGTATCAGCATTTAAGCCCTGCTGGGTCAGCATTTATCAAACTGTGTCGATATGGAGGAGGAGGCGGCGGGGGCGGCAGCGGGGGTGGGGGGGTGGGTCTGGTTCCCACTACCACCATTTCTCCCTGAACATTTATCATCCATTTTATCCTGAATGAGAGCAGACACACAAATCCCAGCAAAATAATCTCTGCAATTTCATCCCCAAACGCTTTAGAGCCAGTTGTTGTTTACATTTGACCTGCTTTGCAGGGCTTAGAAATGTAACCTTTGTTTTGGGAGGGATTATAAATTGAAGGGTTTTTTGTTGTTGTTTTTTTTATAATTTCCAGGCTTAAACAGTCATTAAGCATATCTCTCTCTATATATATAGATATCTATATATAGATATATATATCTATATCTCACACATACATACATAGTCATATTTTTTACAGTTTGACCTACATGTTGACGTTTCACTTTTTTACAAGACATTATTACGTTTCAAAAACGAAAAATAAAAGGCGTTCTTTATGTATGAAGCAGAGAGGCATCATAATAAAACGAATTGAAAAAAACGAGTGTGAAGAAATACACTACAAAAAAAGTAGTATTTCATTATGAGGGGAAATAACTTTCCTACCTTAGTAACTTCACAGTCCTTCTTCTCCTGGTTTCATCTACACAAATAGAACAAAATAAAGGAAGCAACTTTAGCAAACAAGATGGGCAGCTGTTCTCATATGAATTAACGGTCTGAATTCACACACAAAAATGTCTTCAATTTTAACCACAACCCAATTTTTAATTTGCGTCACATTTAGGCAGAACTCCCCACCAAGATTAGAAAAAAAAAATCCGCAATGGAGGAAAAGTGTCCGTAATTAACTTTAATAACAGTTTGGTTGAATCTTTTCCCACCATGTTATAAAGTGGAGCAGAGCTCGTGCCCGCTGCCTCGCCCCCCTCCGGGCTAACTTTCAACACGACCGAAGAGGAAACAACGCTGAAACCGATACCCACCGCCCCGAAGCCAGCGACACAAACACGACCAACACCTCCATTTGAACCTTCACAGGTTAGTGAAAGTTACCCGGAAAAGCCTCTGTGTTTGCTAAAGCGTCGTTAACCTACTTTATCAGGGATCAGAAGGCCTTTAGCAGCAGCAGCGGCAGCAGCAGCTACTGGCTGCGTTCCCTTAAAGTGACGTCAACATAAGGGCTTTTCAAAATAAAAGCACAAACGCAGCTGATATGACATATGAGGTCAGTGACGGTTGTAAACCAAATTTACCTGGGGGCAGGGTGGGGGCATTTTTTCATGGGGGCAGATGACAAAAGAAAAACTCATACAAAAAAAAAAAAAAAAAAGAAGAACAGGGCAACAAGGCATTGTTTAGTACAATAAGTGAGCCTAAAAGAAAAGGGGATCCAAAAATGTCTACCTATAACCCCCAAAAAGTAATAAATAGAATAACTTCACTCTATATTATTTCATAGATATAACGAGAAGTATTACATATTATTTTTTAAATACATATATTTGAATGACAAAATATTTACTCAAATTCTTAAATTCTTTAATGGGACATTTAGTTATTCAATAGTGCATTTCACAGTTTAATGTAATATTTAATATTGAATCATGTATTAGAGACAGCTAAATGAATAGATCTATTTATTCCGTGGTACATTTAGTAATATCATGGGAGATTCACATTTATGTATTTCATGATATACTTTGGCTCCATATATCGCAGGGATTACATGACAGTGATTTTGAAAACCATCTGGTGAACCCCCACTTGTTCTCTAACGATACCCCCCTGGGGAATCTAGGCCCCACTTTTGGAACCTCTGATGTAGAAGGTGGGATTTTTATCTAATTACGGCTGTAGCTTAAGGTGGCACACCTTAGTTTCTATATAATTGTTATATCAATTTAAACAGTAATGGTAAAGCATTAAATTGTCAGTCAATTTCAAATACTTTGGTCAAGACATATTATAACAAATCTATTTAGCATTATATTTTCAGTACAGTAATAGGGGCCAGAAAAAAAAATCTATAAGGGCACCTTGTTGGCAGCTGTCTAGAACTGCCCCTGCATTAATTCTTATTTTATCTGTGACCGACTATAACCAGTGGCGATTCTAGACCAAATATACAAGTAGGGCCAGGGTGGGGTCAAAGGTTTTTCATGAAAGAAAGGGATGAAACACAAGTGCTGGAGCTACAGCAGCTCTAGACTGTTTGAATAAGTTCAGGGGACCTTTAGTGCTCATGCAAAAGTTTGGCATCTCTATAGACATAACACTAAGCAGCATGGTATTAGTGTAATTGCCACTAATTTGTAGTTATCAAAGGCAAAAGATCTATTTCCTTAGTGAGATTATCAGATAGATTCACATTTTACCTACTAAAATGTGATATCCTTTAACACATACATTTGTATTTTAGAGTGTTTTTTTGTGGTGGCAAATCCAGCTGCTTCCATTATCAATAGCTCATAAATGTCAAAAGAGGCAGCTACTACGGTATGTCTCAGCACTGTAAAAGAATATTATTTTGAGGAAAAAAAAAGTGACTTTCAGATGTCAAAATACTTCAACATTTTACAACCCATCCACATCCCATTTAGCCTGCTTTTTAGGCTAAATGGTCTGTGGATGACATGATATATACAGTAAGTAAAGCATTAGGTCAAATCATATATGATAAAACAACACGTTATACATCAAATTAAAAACATATACTAAATCACGGTTGATATACTGTATATCAAACATGATATTGTGATCTATTTTATAGAATACAACAAGAAACATTAGAATAAGATACAATATAACGTATGATACAGAATACAATAGCAAAGAGTATGAGAGAGCACAAACCGAGTCATTTATAGCTATATAATATGCTATAGACTGAATGTACTTTTCCTCTAAGCTTGTGTTTTGTAATTTCAAAAAAACTCCTGCACACAATCTGGAAGGAGATCATATGCTTTGTACATTACAAGTTTAGAACTGAGTTGTACAATTCTACAATTTGTTCTTGTGCATATACACAGCTTCATATGTATTTCTCCATACTTTCACATTAAAGGTATTTTTAGAGATTGAATGGACAAATCTATTATTTCCACATAGCTATTAGAATCAATGTATGCAGCTCAAGAAGTTGCTGTTAAATACATGTTTCCTCTGCATTTTGGTGCGACCTCTTGATGATCCTTCCTGAGATATTTTACTCATATTTTAACAGATTTAAAAAATTTGCTCTGTTCCTACGGCTGTAAAACCTTCCCCAATCCACCAATGGACTGATAAGCAATGTTTTGTTTCTCCAAACATGTTTCAATGCATTATGGCTCCAAAATATCTCCTTTACTTTAGCTGTAACTCTGCAAACCTAAGATGTGCTGCCATATTCTTTTTACAGTAAAGTAACCTGCAGAGTATAAGATTGAGCTGTTGGGTTTTTATATTGCACAGTCTGAATTTGACTTGTTTCATCTACTGATAAGCAAAGTCCATAAGAGTGATCAGGCTGATACCTTTCCCTCTTAAATTCAACAAAAGCAGCTAGAGGGTCCTAATTTACTTTCTACCCTCACTTTACATGCTTAATTTTATGCAAATGTCAAGGTGGGCCTAGAAATTTTTGTGCTTGATCATTTATGGGTCAGCTGTTTAATCCCCTCAACCTATTTCTTTCTCTTTCTCCAACCATTTAACCAAACGTGATGTTAATCTGCTTTACCAGAGTAACTTCTTCAACAGAAGAATGTCTTTATTAATCAATTTTCTCTGTTTCAGTCAAAGAGTAAACAAATTTAATTGGCTTACCTTGGGATCCCCCTTCTTCCTTTTGCGCCTCTGCTTTCTGCCCTTATATGTCCAAATAGCTCTACATCCACAGGAAGAAGCAGTTAACTCAGATCTGTGTTATTGTCAACCTTTTGGCACTGACTGGAACTTTTGAAGTCAGATCACAGCCTCATTTGGTGTTATCAGATGGTTAATAGTTCTTTCCAGGCAAACCAGGAAACCACCCCAAGATTGGAAGCCTTAGATGTAAAAAGCAGGTTGTACAACCTCATATTTTGTATTTTTAATAACACAGTGTCTTTATTTCAGTCAGAAACAGGGCCAGTCGGTGGCTGAAGGGCACTCACAGATGGGCTAAGATGCAGGAAGTCACAGAGAGCGTTGCCCGGTTCTGCCAACGGGACAGACTCAACGGCTTCCGGCCATTGGTGAACCCGTTTAGTAATGTTCTCACTTTTCCTCAACCGCCCCCCTCATCCGTTCTTCTCACAATGCCTGGAAGTAGCATAGACCTACATCTCCCACTCTGTTTTCTTAATAGTTGTTTTCCTTTATGTTTCTTCCTCTGTTTTTTTTCTCATTTTAACAAAGCTCACAATTGATCCAACCTTCCATCCGAAAACATTAAAGCAGAAGGGCACACTCTCATTTTGCTTAACATACCATGCAAACAATACTTCCGATTCTCATTTTTTTTTAAAGAAGTAGCAATGATGTGGGGCAACTTTTTATTGAATGGCTTAAAAATTGAAAAATGTCAACGTTTAGGCCAGATTCATCTTTGCTTCCTGTCACATAACTCAATTGAATGCATATTGTATTGGATCTTTTGCACATATGGTACAATACCCTTAAATAAAACCCAGTGCAACCAATTGATTTAAGAGTCTAATTGATAAATAAAATCATGTGTAATCCAATCTAGGTATAAATCGGCTTTTCCGTTTATGTTTGTTAGAGAGCAAACAGCTTCATGAGGATCAATGAACACAGCAAACAGATCAGGGGGCATGGTTATGGAGAGGTTTAAAGTGGATCTATGCTATAAAAAAATAACTGCAGATATAAATATCACACAGAATGCAGTTAAGTTCCTCTGAAAATCCAAACAGCACGAAACCCAACCTAACTAGATATGCCTGTACACTTAAATTGAAAGGCTAAGAAAAGGACATCAATCAGAGAAGCAGTTTAGAGGATCATGGGAACTCTGGGGGAGCTGCAGAGATTCACATCATAGGTGACAACATCTGTTGATCAGATAAATATCAGTAGTCTATCCTTCTTAGAAAGAATTGGTAAAGAAATTAGTTGTTGAATGAAATCTTCTTAGTCACCTCTATAGGTTAAATACAAAAGCTCCTTTGTTGGTTAAAACAAGCACTGCTCAGTATCCTGAACAAACTACTCTGTGAGTAAAATGTGGTACTATTAGTTTGAGGTTGTATTGTTCAAGCAGGAAAGAAAAGTTGAGCAAAGTTGATTGGAGGGATGAATGGAGCTACACACAGGGTAATCCCAAACAAAACCTGCTAGAGGCTGCAAAAGATTACTTGGGTGAAGGTTTACCATCAGATAGGACGTTGACCCAAAATGTCAATGTCTTATAATGGTTAAAATAAAATAAAAACCTAGGTATAAAGTTAAAGCCCAGATCTAAATCAAGTAAAGGATCCATATCAAAAGTGAAATTGAATATTCATAGACGTTGTTCATTTCATCTGACTGAGTTGGTGCTATTTCACAAAGAATGGACAAACATTTCCAGAGGTGTCAAAAGTATTCATGTTTATTACTCAAGTATAAGTATTAATCCTACTATTTAAAAATACTTTTGTAGAAGTTAGAGAATCAATTATCAATTTAAGCTTTTTATTCCAGTGAAATTGTAAAAATTCTTAAATTAAGTATAAAAGTAAAAGTAATGCATGAAAAAAAATGAAAAAAAAGACTGATGCTTTACTGCACTGCCCTATTAAAGGAACATTTTTCTACAATTCTGGTTGATAACTTTCTTACACTTAATGTTCTCAGTTTTAACTAATAGTAACAGTGTCAAATTTAACTTTGCATCATCTTGAAATACTGTTTATTTTGGTTTGTAGTGAAGCCACAAAGAAATTAATTGTCTGGATGAAACAAGTTATTTTGATGGTTTTAAATTTTTTTTAATGCCAACAGGCCATAACGAAAATGAGCTTTAATGAAACAAAACTAATAAGTCTATTTTTAAAATGTCACAAGTAGAAAGTAGAGATGATTGCAAA